AAAATGAACTTGGCATCACTTGGAGTTATGCCAGAAAATTATGATCTGTTCAGGTCTAGAGTTAGCAATATTTTTTTTCCCTGTGCCATCCTTAAAAGGTTCTAGTGATGATGCATCATACAGGAGTGATAACTTGAAGAAATACAGCATTAATGCTTTATAACTTTCTTCTCAATTTAATTTCTTATGAAAAGTCCTTCATGTTTGTAATTTTTTGCACCAATTAATTCCTCAAATGTTTTGTAAACTTTGACCATATCCCAGATATTGGGTTAGGCTCTGGGGACACAGTGGTGAGCAAGACCTCCTTGTGGAGGGCTTCAGAGTTCACATCTGGGGAAGAAAGTCAGACACTGGACAGGTAGTTTACAAGTGTGCACAGTGACAGAAGGTGAAGTACAGGGTGCTCTGGGGGCTTGATACCCAGGGAGCCTAACCTGGTTCTGTGGTGTAGAGGATCAGATTTTCTACCTGGTTTTCTGCCCATTCTAACTTGCATAGCTCTTGAGTACATTTCCCTGTAGGTAAAGCCCCCAGGGAAAGGTTGCAGCATCCCCACGTCTGGGGATATCCCAGACAGAATACCCCAATAGAACTAGGCTTATCCCCCAATTATAACTAACTTAGTTAAACTGCGATCTGCATGTCTGTTTCCCTCACCTGTATGTCTGTGCTCATCTTTGAGGGCAGGGGACCATGTCTTATTCATCTTGGTATTTTCTCATGTAATTGGAGCATGCTGGTACTGATATTTGTTGAGTGTAAAATGAATGTTTGTGTTAAGACACAATTTCTGCCCATTGGGCATTTGTTAGCTTCTTCCAAAGGTGCCTTACGGAAAGGTAACAAAGTTACAGGGCAATCAGGAGGCAGTGCAGGAGTAATTGCTAAGTGGAAAGTCTGGAAGTTCTTGGGGACAGCCCCATGGGGGCTGGGGTGGTCTGGAAAAGGCTTCCTGAATTGCTCTCCTTCCTTTCCATGTGAAGTCATTTATGCAGTGGAAAGCAAAGAGGATGGGACTGTGGATGGAGCAGATCTGCCGAGCCTCCCAGCTGGTCTGCTGGGGTCTGGCCATTCTTTTGGCAAACACTTATTGAGAACTGCCTGTAGGCCAGGCACCAGCTGAGGCTACAACTCATAGCCTAGGGTGGGGTATGCTCACAGGGAATGAGAGAGCACAGAGGCGGGCGGGCAAGGCATGCATCCTGCATGAGGGTGAAGTCATTCAAAGTGATTGCAGGAGCTGTTAGCCAGGTTAAAATGTGTCTGTGGGGTGGCAGTTTCCAGGCAGAGAGAACAGCATGTTCAGGGGGCCAGAGGAGAGAGAGAAATAGATAGATAGATAGAGAAAAAGACCAGCACTGGCACTTTCAGAGAACTCTGTGTAGCTCTTTTTCAGCTGCCCTGTCTCCGGGGAGAGGCAGAAGCTGGGGCAGTTCCTGAGATGCCCATGCTGGTGAATGTAACCCAATCTCTAAACCATTCGCTCCTGGCTTCCCCAGAAAGGGTTGACATTTTTCTTGGCTGAGACCCAGAGTATGCCCTGACTGAGCCCAGTTCACAAGGTGCTGATTAGGCTGAAGTAAGGTGACAGGTGTGTGAAGATGCTGAAAGAGCAGAATTCCCATGTGCTCAGTTAGTCCCTGAGCTGGAGCAAGTATGAAGGGAGCTAGTGCAAAAGTCACCACCACCTGTGTGTCTGCCAGGACTAGCAGTCCCTGCGGACAGTGTCTTCCCTTCTCACTGTTAGGTGAGCTTGGCTTCTTTTACTTTATTTTTGTTTGTTTTTGTTTTGATTTTTTCCTTTTTTTTATTGCTTTCTTTTTATTGTTTTTCTTTAATTTTTAAAAATTAAAACATAACAAGTAATTCATGTTTATTATGGGAAAATAAAGAAGGAGGAAAGAATACTGTATTCCCACTGCCCACAGGAAAGAGCATATTGGATTATATTCTAACATTTTCTTCCCTAATATGTAGGGTAAAGGAACATTAGTTTTGAAAGCTTAATAAGATCAGTGGACAACATATTAATTTCCACTAATGTTTTCTTTTTCTCTTTATTTGTAATGATTTGTTACCTTAATATAGTACTTAACGGTTTATAAAATATTTCCACTTGCTTTATCACAGTAATTTCTCACAATTGTACGAGAGGTGAGCATTATCCCCATTTTGCAACCGAAGAAACTGAGACTCAGAACAGTTCAGTGACTTGTCCAAATTTAAACAACTTATAAGTAACAGAGCCTCAAGTTCAGTTTTTCTGATTCTTAAGTATAAGGCACTTTCTACTGAGCCGCAACTGCAAAAACAGCAGCTTTAGGCACACATACATGCACCACTGCCTTTTATTCACTGGAGACATGTCCTTATTCATCAGAACACTGAAGGAAATGAAGTTTACCCAGTCTTCCTGAGTATTAATTGAATTAACTGGAGTTTTGATACATCCAGTATGATTAGTGAGATTAATCAGAATATCCAAAGAGACTGAAGATCATGCAAATGGAGTAGAAAGTTTATGTTACCCAAGGCAGGGGTTTTGTTTATGTTAGACGTGTGATTTAGTTATCTTCAAGTAACTCAGAGTTGGGTCAGAGTTTTAGATTTTATTTTCATTTCCACATAAAAGAAAAAAACAAGTTTTTTATTTACAGCAGGAAAAGCACAAAGGAACACTGCTTCCTATGCGTTCAATCTAGCCAAAAAAATGAAAAAGAAAACTTTTTTTTTTAAAAAAAGGAAGGAAAAAAACCCCAGTAGAGCACAAATAAATAATTCCAAGCTATATACTGCTGTCATGAATTCCCAGTGTATTGGGGAAGATGCCAGAATCTTGCTTCTTAGGATGAACTGTTGCCAAAACCTATCATTTGTAGAAGTCGTGAGGGGCGGAGAGCTAGCTTTTTTTTCTTAAAATAGCAGTAAAGGCAAATAAAAGTCTATAGATGATAAAATTACATAATATTGCCTAATATCTAGTTTTGCCAGCATCCAGGTTTTGAGGACTATTACTTGTAAAAGTGGTATCTCAGGCACCACGCCAGTGCCTCGGGGCCTGCCCGGGGACTTGAGGCATGGAGAAAGGGACTGGACCCCCCCTCCCACAACCAGGCACACCGCGCCAGTGCCTTGTGGCCCACTCAGGGACCCAAGGCATGGAGAAGGGAACAGGACCCCCTCCCACAACCAGCCACACCTTGCCAGCACCTTGGGGCCCACCCAGTGACCCAAGGCATGGAGCCGGGGACCAGACACACCCCACAACCAGGCACACCACCAGCACCAAGGAGCATGCCAAAAACATCACTTCCATGTGGGCAGCCCACCACAGCCACCACAATAACCATGGCTACCGTGAAAGTGGCTAGATGCCACAACCACCATGCAGATGGTCTGCCAACCACTGGGGTGCATTGACACAAGGAGAGTCACCAGCAGAGACCAAAGAAAAGAAGAGGATGTCTCTCTCCACAAAGTCCATTTCAGAATGACAGAAGAAGCATCTGCTCTGTGATAATATTGGGGGGCCTGATCACACCTCAGCATTGGACAGATCATCTAGGCAACAAATCAACAGAGTAGCCATTATTCTTTCAGAAAGAGAGAAGAAATCTAGGGTAATTAGAGGGGGGTTGAGGGAGGGAGAGGGGGATGGGGAGAGATTGGACAAGGGGCGTAAAGAATAATTATGATTTGTAACAATATATATGCTAGTAATATTGATTTGATCAACATATCTCAATGTTGAACCCCTAAAATATGTGTAATCTATTTTGATTCAATAAATAAAATAAAAGAATAAGATAAAAGTGGTATCTCACTGAAGAGAAACCTTTTAAAAGAAAAAATCATACGTTTTTTATGAACTAAAAAGAGAAAGAAAATGTTGGAGTAAATTAATTAATTGACGTATTAACTAATTGGGAAGGAGTGCATGAATTATCCACCATATTCCATGTGTTATACTGGTCACCAGACTTAGTTACAAAGTTAAATAACACATGCCTCCAAGAAGTGCATGGCTAATAGGGAGAAAGGCTCATAAACAGATGATTGAGGCTTGAGGTTGGTGCCACCCAGATGTTTTGTGCAGGTCACTACAGGAAAAGAAAGAGAAGCTCATAACTACTTAGAGAAGCTGGGAGAATCTCAAAGATGAGAGGACACTTGAGCTGGGTCTAAAAGGATGAAGAGGGGAAGAAAACAAACTTACCACATGCCTGCTACGTAGCCAGCATTGTGCTAGATACTCTGACAGTTCCAAAAAGAATTAAGACCCACTGGGAAGTCAAGGAGGGCAGACGGGCACATCAAGAATTCAAAATATGACAATACTCAGAGCACGATTATAGAGACCTATTCAGAAATCAGAAAATAGAGCTCAAAGTAATGTGCTTTTTTTTTTTTTTTTTTCCAGAATAGGAGTTTAAAGTCCAAAAATGAAAGTTCTGCTCCATTGCTCCACATTAGGCTCTTGGAAAAGGGTCTTCATGCATGTAAACATCCCAAAGAGCCAGTTTCTTAATATTGGTAAAGATTTTAGCAAGTCCAGAATAGGAGTTTAAAGTCCAAAAATGAAAGTTCTGCTCCATTGCTCCACATTAGGCTCCTGGAAAAGGGTCTTCATGCATGTAAACATCCCAAAGAGCCAGTTTCTTAATATTGGTAAAGATTTTAGCAAGGACCTTAGCTGGAAGACAGATGTGTCATAGTTTATTCAACCAATTCTTATTGGTTAAAGACAGATGTCCTAGAATTGGAAGTGCTGGATCTATGAGTAGGTCCATCTTAAAGGCTTTCATATATTTTGCCAAATTGCTTTCCAGGAGGATTATACCAGTGTCCGTCCACTCCCACCAGCATCATGTTGGAATCCCATTTTCCTTATACCTCCCTGATACTGGGTGTTTTCATTTTTAAATCTGTGGCCATTTGTCAAGAAAGTAGCAGTTTCTCATTATGGTTTAAATTTACTTTCTCTTCATAAATATAATGCCAGCTTTTTATTATGTTAATTCATTACCTGTATTTAGTTTTTGGTGAATTGCTTATTTATATCCTTGACCTATTTTTCTATTGAGGTTTTGCTTTTTTTCTCATTAATACATAAGAATTTTTCTTATATTGGCTGTATTAAACATTATCTTACAATTGTAAATATGTCTTTTTTTAAAATTTGTCAATGGCCTTTTAATGTTACTAATAACAGTTTTATTGAATAGAAATGCTCATTTTAAGTAGACAAATACATCAACTTTTCTCCTTTTTGCATACCGAATTTACATGTATCCATCACCCCTAAGATTTAAAAATAGTATTTGTACTATTCTAATGGTATTCTAGTACATAAAGGTTTTCAATTTTTACATTAAAATTTTTAATCCATCAGGAATTCTTCTTGTCATGGTGTTTTATAGGGGAAAGAACTAAATTTTTTTAAACCATTTATCTAGTTATCCAACACTATTTAAAAATTATTCCATTCTTTTTCCACAGCTTCAAAGTGACACCTTTATCATATACTCCAGCCTCATATGAGCTTGAGTCTCTTTCTAGGTCCTCTCTTTTGTTCCATTATGCTACTGGACTATTTTAATTATCGAAAATCATGTATAACGGTCATGGTCTTCTGCTGTTTGTTTATTTTTTATTTTATTTTCTCCTCTCATAATAATACTTTATAATTGATATATCAAGTTTCACCAGATTATTCCACTGACATTTTTATTGGCTTTTGCCTTAAATTTCTAAATTACTTTGGGAAACATAAACTTCTTTTCAGTATTGTGTTGTTTTACACAATATGTGATTCCGTCCATGTACTCAAGTCCTCAGTAAAGTGTTAAGACTTTTTTAGTTGGTTCTGCATGCTTACTGTTGAGTTTATTCCCAAGCGATTTAGAGAAGTCCCATTTTCACTGCATCGTGTTTACCCCACCAGGTTCTGACCACATCCGTGAGAAAGATGGACTGTGGGCTGTCCTCGCCTGGCTCTCCATCCTAGCCACCCGCAAGCATAGCGTGGAGGACATTCTCAAAGATCACTGGCAAAAGTATGGCCGGAATTTCTTTACCAGGTAAGCCCCAGCCTGCCTGGGATACAAGGTAGGGTGGGGAAGTGGGCAGAGAGAATTCTCGTGCATACAAAATCTTTGCTGTCTTAAGTGATAATAAAACCCTAGTTTATCCAGCCTCTACCAATGCTTTTTTTTTTTTGGCAGCTGGCCAGTAAGGGGATCCGAACCTGTGACCTTGGTGTTATAAGGCTGTGCTCTAACCAGCTGAGCTAACCAGCCAGCCCAATTGGGGATTTTAAAAATAATTTGGCCCGGGATCAAGGTGAAGTCAATTTTTATGCCAGCCATAAAGAATGAGGCTTAGAAAATTTAGCTAATATAATCAAAAGAATAAATGCTTTTTAAGCATTTTTAAATGTATGCATTGGGTGGATATGATAATAACAATGGATTTGGATTCAGAAGCATAGTTAGAATTTTATTTCTGCCACTTACTAAATTGGGAAGTCATTTAACCTTTCTCTATACTCAGTTTTCTCATCTGTAGAAGTGGGAATAACAGTCCAGCTTTTGAAAGGATTAAGTGAAATAAGAGTCTCAAAGTATTTTGTAAACTCTGGGGCACCAAAATTATGGAAATTTTTTTCCATAAAAAAGGATATTAGATAAATTTATCTGTAAGAAAAATACCATGTGCTCCATGCTATCCCCCAAACACCTAACTCATAGTAGACACTGCGTACATATGTTTTGAGTAGATAAATGAATGAGTTACCAAATAACAGCAGCCAAAGTGAAATAAGGTTAGGAGGGATTGTTTATCTGTAAGAAATGTATGGATGTAATTTCTCTGAATGTCAGTTTCATTTTCTATTGAGTAAGTTAGACTAGAGAATTTAAAATATATATTCCAGATTTAATAGTCTATGATCTTTGGAGAGTCAAAAAGAATTCTACCTTAAGCAATCTGGGCTCCTTAATCAGAATCCTTTTATCAACTTTGGACAAGTCCATTGATCTCTTCCTCACTCAAGTTACTCTTTTGTGGAAAGCACAAGTAATAACTGCCCGCCTGGTACCACACAGTAGCCCGGGAACCAAGGCAAGAATCTACTCTAAGAACCAGAAAAACCTGGTAATTCAAAGTCATGAACTTCCTAGAGTCTAGAGGTTCACAAAAACAGGACCGTGTCAGTTTTTGTGCTCCATGGTATCCCCAAACACCTAACTCATTGTAGACACTGCATACATATGTTTTGAGTAGATAAATAAGTGAGTTACCAAATAAACAGTAGTCAAAGTGAAATAAGGTTAGGAGGGATTGTTCAGAGAAACGGTCGCTCGAATTAGTTAAAAGTCTCCATATAAAAACTTTTTAATGTAATTTTATTAGTTATCTAATAAAACTGCTAACCAAGTATTACAAATCAAACCCTTAGAACCTGCGTTTTTGATTAGTTATGATTCCATGATACCCTCCATTTATTAAACAAAAGTGCTAAGCACTTTTATGTGTATTGTCTCACATTATTAATGAGGCAGCTGAGATTCGGAGAGATGTGGCAACTGGCCTATATAGTCACACGATTAATAACTGATGGAGGCTGGATTCATAGCTTGTTCTGTCTGATTTCACCACCCAGATTCTTTCCATGACACCCTCTGTGCCTAGGATTTATAAAACATTTCCCTCAAACACCCAAAGGTCACAGAGGTAAAGCACAAACACCTGGTTGTAATTTCTTGCTGTTTGTCATTTTAACTGGGGGAGAGAGCTGACTTCCAAGATTAAGGGGACTGTTTTGTCCTTAATTCATAGAATCCAGAGCCAGAATAGGTTGGCCTGAATTCCCAGTACTTCTGATGTCTCAGAGGTGTCCTCTTGCACATATCATATTTGTTTCACTATTGCAAGTAAATACACACTCTGCTGTCTGGAGCCTCTAAAAAATAACTCGCTCAAGAGGTGTGTGCCACTGGGTCAAGAAAGGCCACCTGTAAGAGTCCAAATTCCTCTGGACCAAAATCCACTCCCACTGAAAGGAGGGAGGCGTTTCAGATGTAAAGAGCTAGTGTTTGGCTCCTTCATCTGCTCAGTGAACACTGGGCCTTGCTTTAGGAAGCTCCTGTGGAGACTAGAATTCTCCTTAGCCAAAATGTCAGCAACCTCAGGCAGTTCCCAGACTGGGAGCAGTCCCAGCAGTCACCTAAAAAAGCTCAAGGAGTTTGGAAGAGCAGTGCCTGAGTCATGTGCTTGTTGATGTCGAGTTCTCTCGAGATAACATTGCTTTTAATTCTGCCTCCTCAGGATGTGGTGACTAAATGTGAGACGGTATCTCTCCACAGCGTTTGAAGCATCTTAGAGCTTTAATCTGTAGAAATGCCAGCATGGGTGTTTTCTGCTTATTCAGAAGCTGTAACCCTTCCCTGAAATCCTCCAAACCCTTTCTTTCATCCCTGGCCTGTTCCATCGCCACTGACTGACAAGCCCAGATTTTTTTTGCCAGCTTGTTCTGAAGTTAGATAGTTTGGTGGGAGGGCCAAACAACTGAGGGAGAAAAGTACTGATTGTCATACCTTGGAATGATCTGAAGTTAGCCCTTGAGCTCAACTTCGTGACTTCTTCCAGGTACGATTATGAGGAGGTGGAAGCTGAGGGTGCAAACAAAATGATGAAGGACTTGGAGGCCCTGATGCTTGATCGCTCCTTTGTGGGGAAACAGTTCACAGTGAATGACAAAGTTTACACCGTGGAGAAAGCTGATAACTTTGAATACAGTGATCCAGTGGACGGAAGCATTTCAAGAAATCAGGTAGGAATAGATTTATGTGTATGTGGGAGAGAGTCCTCAGAACCTTATCTCTGAAGTCTCAAGGAGAAAAAGAAAAAGGCTCCCTTGTCATTTTCCTTTTTGCTCTGTTTTTCTAGGGGAGCTATTCTCAACTGGTTTTCTGCCGAGTCACATGTGACTGTCACATACACTTATAGGGAGAATGGTTTTTGCCCTGGTTCCGTGCAATCCCC